TAGGAGAGTACCATAAAGGGCACTGTTACCTGTCACTCAGCCAAACTCAAGTTAGAATCAGTCAGCTTTGAAATTTTGTGAGTTTCTGGGCTTGGAATTCACCAGCTCCACAATGTATTAGCATTATTTTCCCATCTGAGCTCTCTTGAGCAGCAGCAGTAATAACCTCATCTTTATTGTTAGGGGTTAGGACTGAACCTTCTTTGACTTCCAAAGAAAACAGCTCCTCCTCTCATTTCAGCGTGAGGTTTGTCAAACTCACAGAGCTTCTTTCCAACTGATTTCCCTGGGTACTACACGTTCCGGTTGGGGCTCCTTCATCTGGTGCTGAAAAACAAACAGGGCTTTAATCTCCAGGGCATGAAGTCACCGGAGGGGGTGACCCACAGGCAGTTAGGAGACTCTCAGCCCAGTGCTTTTAATCCCCTTTTCAGGGGCCTCTCAGGAGCAGACAGCGCTTGCTGCAGGCAAGGCGTTGAATCAGATCCAGCTTTTTGGGTAAAATCATAGGGAAGTGGTAAACTTGAGACGACTTAAACTGTAAATTAAAGTTGTTTGAGGAACATTTTAAAGATCAATTTAAATTTTGGCAATGAGATGATTTTAAAATCAGCATTAGGTCTAGCCTATCATTTTGATGGGGCTATTTTCTTCCATAGCATCCATATAACATCCCCCCACCCCATGGCTTAGCTATGCACCCCTTTCCCATAAATGAATGAAATCAACAACCCTTAGGACCAGCAGAGTGAGGTGTTGCAGAGACACTTCTCAAGTCCCAGTCCTACTTCACCTTTAAGATCCAGATCAAATTCCCTCCTCTTGCTGATGCCACTCTCTTTGGACGATAATCTTCTTTAAAGAACCCCAACATTTAAAAACAGTGGTGAGCCCTGGTTAGTGTAGCCCAGATGGTTGGGCATCGTGACCTGCACTGAAATGTTGCCTGCTCGATTCCCCGTTAGGGCACATGCCAGAGTTGGGGGTTCAATCCCCGGTAGCGGGGCATGCAGGAGGCAGCCAATCAGTGTTTCACTCTCACATGGATGTTTCTCTCTCCCTCTCCCTTCTCCTTGCTCTAAAAATCAATAAATTTTTTTTTTTAAGAACAAATAAATAAAAAATAAAATAAAATAAAAACAGTGGTGAAATAGAAAAAGTTTCATTGGTTTTGTGGGCAGAACTAGCTCTGAATTCTGGTTTTGGTTAGCTCACTGTAGGATCTCACACACCTCATTTCACCTCTCTGGTTTCTGATTTCCTCTGCTGAAAATTGAGAAAATAACAATACCAATCTCACAGGGTTGTTGTGGGCGTAGAATAAGATCGTCCAGAGCCTGGACTGGTGTAATGCTGAGTGGATCACTGTTGTTACTGGCATTCTTCTTCATGCTCTTTAAATTATTTTTGCTTGTCCTTCAGATTTTCATTCCAAGTTGAAAGTGATTGTTTTGAACTTAGAGACGAGCTTTTAAATGTTATTTCTTACTGGTATTGATTCAAAATATCATGCTTCATTTCCAATAAAATAGCTTTTCTTGAATTTTTGTTTGATTTTCTGTGCCTCACATTTCCTTTTCTCAAACGTCATTAAGAACAGAAACATTCTAAAAATTGACGTCACGCATATTCAGGAGCTAAGTGTTTCAGTCTTAAGGGCCCCTGTTGACCACACCACCCGAGGCACTGCTGACCTTGGCTTCTCAGAGGGGCCTGTTTGCTCATGGAGGCACTGGGGTTGGTTAAGGTCAGCCACTGGGGAGCAGGAAGTTTAAGCTTTGGTCACATTGTGGGGATCGTAATCCCAGGAGGAAAGGTCACCAAAGCAGTCAGAGCAGTTATAAATAAGTCCTTTTCATTTGGAAGTTTCCAGAACGATGACCTTGAGAGCAAGGACCATTCTTTTACATCATTATGCAACTTTGAGCATGAGTACATAGTTGGTGCTTAATAATCACTTACTGAGTGATAAGTGTGACATCTCCTATGTGGAGTCTCCATTTACCTCAAAACAGACTATTATGGACTAAATGTGTATATTGTAACTAGTGTAGCCTTGTGTTGGCCTTTTTTATTTTCTAATATAGCAGAAATATAAAAAACTGAAAGCCACTACGGCCCTGACTGAGATGTTCTGGTGCAAATATGTGCAAGTAAAACCACATAAAGCTAATAGTTCTCTAAATGTGATACTTTTCTGTCACCTCCATGCATTTTCACAGTGTTCCCTGGGCCAGGAGCACAGGCCTCTCATATTCACCCACCCCTACTCTCAGCAATATTTTTCAGGACTACATCTTTCCTCAAGACACAACCCAGGCATCCCATCCTTCCAAAAGTCCTTGTGCCTCCCACTCTTGGTTCATGGCCTCTCCTCTGAGTACCTGTCATATTCTTTACCACTCGCCTCTCTCCCCCATTACAGAGTAAATTTCTTTAGGGCAGGTGCCTCTGACTCATCCTCTTTGTGTTCTCAGTGCCTGGCACAAGGTAGATGTTGAGGCCCTTACAGCAAGGTTCCAGGAGCCCCAAATTCCTAGCTATGGCCCTCTTCATGGTGACAGGAGCACTGTTTTAAGGGATGGGAATGGTTCTAAGTCTATACAAGTAAATCTCACAGATTCAACAGAAAGCAAGCCAACTAGGGAGAGATGCAAACACCACCCAGTTGCACTCCAGGACTCTGATCACTTTTCTTCCACATTAAAGGATCAGGGGCAAAATCACTAGGTAGAAAATTATCATGGGAGTGAGAATATGAAAATGTTGGCACCATAGAGGAAGTGATGTGTTTTGTCTTAGACCAGACACTGTGAAGCATGGATTTAGTGGAGCTAATGCAGACCCTGCTGATCTTATGGCTGTGCTGAGTCAAGGGCTCTCTCTGCCTGGCACACGGCCTTCATTCACAAAACACGCAGTGGCTGGGCCTGAGTTTGCCTTGTGCGCTTCTGTGTTGCTCACTTTCTAAAAATGAGACCTCTCTCCATTCCCATCAGGTGACTGACCTTCTGCCATACAGTCAGTGTGGAAAAAAAGTGTTGAGCAACAACCTACTATAAGAGCAGGATAGATTCTTGAAAGGATTGAAAACTAGGGAAAATAATTTCAGAGTGTCAAGAAGACACTAATTAGCACTCTACTTTCATAGACTGTACAAAGCTATTCTTCACTTCACCCAAATGACGACCACTTGCCTTAACATCCTCAGGAGTTGTTATATAAGGTCCATAAAAAATTACTAGTGTTCCCTAGCACTGTTGGCGATCAAGATCATTGACTGATAGAATTTGCACTGGAAACAGACATGTTAATTAGTCTAAATAATTCACTGGAGTGGAGTAATTAATGATTTAACACTTATCTAATTAACTAACACTTTCACCTGTCAGAGCCAGAGGTAAATGCCAGACTGGAATTTGGTAGTCTTCTTCATTATACCTTATAAAAAAAAATTAGAGAGACAGCATAGAATACCAAATAAAAGTGTGAAGCTCTCCCATGGTGGGTGGTGGGCCTGTTGATTCTCAAAATTGCCAGTGCTTGTGGAGAAGGGGAAGCAGGTAGGCCACCTTGAGGGGAGCCATGAGGGAAGAGACGGATGTATTACAGCCTAGAAACAGGAACTACTCTCCCAAGTTACACAAGCAACACACAGGTGCAGGCTTATTTTGCCTCAAAGCTGTCATTACCTTTTCCAAGATCTGTTTCCTTGGGGACTTTTGGATAACTTTGGGCAAAGTTAACAAATGTCTAATTGGTAACAGCAGTAGCAAGATTTAGAATACGACATTAGTTCCCCATTCCTTTCCTTCTCATTCTGTTAATTTTGCTAGCTGGCCAAGATGGGCTGAAGGAGGCCACATGGAACTCAAGGAGCTTGTCCGAAGTGACTGTCACCAGGAAGAGGAGTGTCTCTAACACAGTTAAGATATGGGCATTTGGTTCTTCACTGGGAAGCACTGTTACAGGGGAATTCATGCACATTATGCAACGCCTTGTATCTGCTGCTGCTTGGGCATTTGTGAACATTTTAAGCTCTGGTTTGCTTGCAAGCCATGAGAGGAATGTTCTTAAACTCTCACCAGGATAGAACTTCAGTTGATTGCCATGGGAGCTGAGAAAAAAAGCAAAAAAAAAGCAGGATGAAGTACCTTTAAAGTCTTCTAAATTTTCCCATCCCCAAAGTGTACAGTAAGAAGGAGAAGAAAAGCAGTGAATTTATGGATTTCTTAAAACAGACACTCTGTTTTCTGAAAATATCAGGCCTGATGTTGTTATTCTACTTGGACTGACCCCCAACAGCTGTTTCATTGGATTTTACGGGCAGCCTAGGGTTTTTAGCTTACTGAAGCTCTGGGAAACAGATTCAGTTTAATTATCAGAACTTCTGTGTGAATTTGAATGGGCAGAGTTCAGATGAGAGGCTCTCTGAGGTAATGACTTTGTATGTTTGTCTCACTTGTGAACACAGAATGAAAACAAGTTGGTGAGGGGTAGGATGGGGTGAGAAAATGAAATGTTTGGGAACTGAAAGTTCTCACATGTACTGGACACATTTTTGAGACAACATGGTGGAAATCGGTGGAGGACTTGGATCCATATACAGTTGTCCCAAAGTAAATAAGTCGGTGCGCCACACTAGACCCATGCTGGGGCCAAGGCCAGAGTAAGGGACAGCTGTACCAGTCAACGGTTAACAAGCTAACCAACCTGGTCAGAGGGATAGGATGCCACACCTTCAAAGGGAGCCTATCTTCTTACCGAAGTGTTGCTTGAGAGCTGGGCTATAGTATAAAAGGCCATATCAAAGAGGATATTTTTTGAATTGGTAGGGAGTTTAGAATGCTAAGAGTAAAGTTCCATTAGTGATTTCAGAAGAAAACATAAGTTTTAAGGGAGGTTGTCATTCTAACTTGGAGCTGAACTATTATGATTGACCTATAACTTAATAGCAACTCGTTATATATTTATTTTCTGACATCAACTTAAGAGTGACTATCCATATAGTACAAAGTATGGCTTCGATTTTGCCTGCTTCCAATAAAGCTATGAGATCTGACCGGAATACTTATGTTGGGTAAGTAATTTTCATTTTTTATTTGTTTTGATCAGATGGATGTTCTTTAGATTTTATACTCAATGTTCAGAAGATAGACCTCTACCTTTACTTAAATATCTTAAGTTTAGAGATGTTATAGTTGGAACACAGCTCATAATACAAAACAAAGTGAACACAGTGCAAATTTTCTTACCAATGGCATTTTCATTCCTTGGTTCTTGGAAGAATTTAGCTCATCTAAGAAAGTGAGGCAATATGCCAATTATATCTCAATTTTTAAACAAAGTGAAGCAAAAAAACAAAACCAAAAACCAACCTGTAAAAGATTAACCAACCTGCATGAGTGAACAAATTCAAAGTTCCGTCTGGAGTTCAGCTTTTAATTCCAGGACCATGGGCTGAAATAATCTGAAAAATGGTTAAAGGGGCCTTCCAGTGCCTAAGGGAGATTTAACTGTGTTGCAGCATATTATGAAGTGATTTCATCCGCTTTGTGATAGACTTTACATAGAATTCACTTCTAAAATACCATGTATGTTATTCATCTCAGGGGTAGACATAAATCTGCCAAAACTCTGAAAATTTAGCTCCAATTCTTGCCCCAGGTTCACAGAACATAATAGAGCATTAATCTTCAGGAGGCTTAAGGAATTTTTGCGAGGTTCCCCTGATTTGCTGAGTTGTATCAAATGCCTTGCTTAGGGCCCCCATCATGTCAGGGTTTCAGAAAATGTTCCATTTACCCATCCCAAACAGAGGTAGCCTCCTACCACGTTCACTTGTTCAGGGAAGCCAAGGAAAGAGGAAAGGAAAAATTATGAAGATGAAGGTGATGGTAAAATTGAAAGGCTTCTCAGCCAGAGCTTTTCTTTGGTTGCCAGTACTTAATACTGACCATGCTGTGTCATGGTTTGCTAAAAGACTGTATTCTCAACACCACCTTTGGCCCATGTTTTAGAAAAAGGAAGAAAAAGGCAAAACAAGGTTGAGGAGAAAAGCAGCGTACACAGGCTATTTAGTAAAAATTACATACTTTGGAAAGATTGAAGTATTGCAATTGCCAGATTCATACTGGGTTGAAGTTGGCAAAATACCCCAAACTAGTCTTTCCTTTGGTAAGTAATAGAGTGAGCATCTTAGAAGTGCTTTTGATTAGCCCAAAGGGATACAAATCTTCTACAGACATGCCACCTCTCCAATTTTCTGACCAAGGGATCATTAGCTATTGAAACAGACCATCAAGGGAAAACTAAGAATAGGTCCTAATTAATTAATAAGAGTATTTTAATTAATACAAGAGAATATAGTTAATGGCTTGAGATTTGAATCAGAATTTCTAGGAGTGGGGCTCAGGTACCAGTGCTGTTTAAAGTACCCCAGGTGATTCTGATATGGAGTTAGAGTTTGGAATCCCTGGAGTAGATGAATGACACTCTTTTCTGGAGTAAGGATTTATAGTCAGCCAGGAATCCAAAGGAGAATCTTCAGAGAGGAAAAGCAGTTTGGGCAGTCAAACAGAGAGTGTAAGAGAAGTAGGAAGAGAATGTGGGTGGCAGTGTTTCTCAAAAAACTTGAATGTGCACAGAAATCACATAGGAGTTANGGTCAGAGAGTGTAAGAGAAGTAGGAAGAGAATGTGGGTGGCAGTGTTTCTCAAAAAACTTGAATGTGCACAGAAATCACATAGGAGTTAGTTAAGAGGCAGATTTTGACTCTGTAGGTCCTGGGTGGGGCCTGAGATTTTGCATTTCTAACAAGCCTCCATGGCAATGCTGCTGGCTTATTGACCACACTTTCTCTATCAAGGGGTTACTGGTGAATGTCCTTTTGCCTCTCACCAGGCAAAGAAAGGAGGTGTCCTTTTGCTTTGGGGCTTGGAGGATTGTTCTGAAGTTGTAAAGTGTTCTAACCTCATGGAATGTTTTATTTTTGAAAACAGCCATGATCCACTAACTAATTAAGAATTTGTTACCCTAAATGTTTTTGAGCAGAAAATTAATAGTATTTTGTTCCACTTCCCGAACAGTTAAATTTAATTTAACAAATAAAATTTGTTAAGACTTGGGGATTAAAAAAAGATACATGAGACAGCTTGCATGAAGAAATTCACAATTTTTCTGGGGAGATAGAAAATTAACACATGAAATGCTATCTATCAGCCTTAATGTGAATTAAATGCTTTAGGAGGACAGTAGGGGGATGGGGGGGATTCATACTGACTGGGGAGGAAAGATGTTTGGAAAAGCCTTCCTGGAGGAGGTGATATTTGAATTTGACTTTGAAGAATGGGTAGGATTCTGATATGTGAACAATGGAGAAAAGGGGAAGGATGTTTCAGGAACAAAGACTCAAAGAGAGATTCTCAATTTTAGTTGCACATCACATCATCTAGGGAAATTTAAAAAATACTTTCAGAGTCTAAATTCATTAGGGTCTGGGGTCTGGCCACCAGTGTTTTTAAATGATTTTTTAATGGCTGAAGATCACTGGAAATATAGAAAAACAAAGAGTTTTGTTAAAATGTTTAGAGGCATTTACTGAGAAATGGAAGAGCATAGAGCAAAGAAGTCAGATAGTTATTGGCCAACATGGCTTGACCCACCGTGGGGTGGGGTAGATAATTTACTGCTAATAATTAAAGTAGTATTAATCACTACTGTAATACCAAAGACTGTATAGTTGATGTGCTTCATAAATATGAATTAGGCTGAATTAAGGTTATTCCTACAGCAGCAGTCAGCTCACTGTCTTGCATTATTTTACTGAGAGAGAGGAAAGGTAGTAGCCCAGTCAGGCTCAGAGAGGCCTCAGGCCAATCTTGCAAAGCAGTTACTATTTTCACTATACCCACTTTACAGATGAGGAAACTTTCAAAAAACAAAGATAAAATAAGTTACTCAAGCTTGCACAGTTAGTATATATATGGTTGAGCTGGTAGTGGAGCCCAGGCAATCTAACTATAGATCCCAGTAGGTGCTGTTACACAGACTCCCATGCAAAGAAAGAAAATGACCGTGAGGGCCAGGCACAACTGGATAGAAAAGGCTGTTTTGTAATCTACTGGTTGTAAAATTTTGCTCAAGTTTCTGTAAGCCTTGGCTCTTTTGTTTGTAAATTGGATTAGTTAGTACTGCTTACCTAATAGAATGGTTATGGGATTAAATGAGGTAATGTGTCTACTCTACATAGTTTTTATGGCAGTGTGCAATTTTCATGTTTAAGGCTATGTCTATGTGCACAGAAAATATTAGCTATTATTATTATTATTATTGGTATTCTTGTTTTGACTATAATATCATAATAATATTTGCTTCCTAACAAATCATTTATCTGAAATGAAGATTTGTGTCCAATATTTGGTCTAGCAGTTATCATAGGCATAGACTGATATCTTTGCTCTTTTGTGTACTTTCACTCTAAATTTCTTCAAGTATTTTTTACCTTATTTTCCCTAGAAAAAGTTTTGTTCATGTTAAAAATCCTTACCTGGACTCTATGGATGAAGACATTCTCTATCACTTGGATTTAGGAACAAAAACACACAATCTACCAGCAATGTTTGGGGATGTAAAGGTAAAAGTATTTCTAACTTTAAGAAAAACAATCGTGTTTCTGTTGCTGATATTTCTTCTTATTTTTCCAATATAAACTTTACCCATTTAGCTATCGCAATGTCAGAGGTCCCACTGGAACACAAGGCATGTTCATTCTCTGAAACAATTTAGAATGTGTATATCTTGAACAATCATTTCCACCCCAATGAGACATCAAAGTTCCCAAACTAAATCTAATACATACATGGTTATTTGCCTGCTCTAGTTCCTAGAGATAAATACAATTTTATTGGCAATACTGCTGGGTGCTGAGAATTCATTATGATTCGGTTCACTGTTTAAAATCTACATGGATAGTTGAACTTCACTAATTCACATTTTATTAAATGATAGCATAACTCAACAAAATTAATAATTCTATCTTGAAAATAACCATTATTCAATATTTCATATTATTAAGATTTTATTATTTCATATGAAATATTATGAGAAAACTCATAATATATATATATATGCAGCTCATGTTCATTATTTAAAATTAGGAAAATGTAAAAAAAAACACAATAATTTTTTTAAATACACCTTAAAAAAACTCCTACCATCTAAACATAGATATCACCCTATTTTCTTTTCTTCCAATCCTTTTTAGTAAATTTTAAAATAGTTGGAATTATATAACTTTGCATCCTGAATTTTCACTTACATTTATGTCATTAACATTTCCCCAATATTATGACATTTTCTTTGAAACATATTGTTTATGGATGTTAAGTGGCTGTGCCATACATTATATAGTCTACTTTTGACCTTTATGTATAAGTATTTTCTATCATAAATACCACTGAAATGGGTATTTTTGGACCTGACGACCTTTCACATTTAAGTCTATTTGCTTAGGATGATTCAGAGAAATGGTCAAAGGGAATAAACTTCTTAAAGAATTTCCAAAAAGCCTCTACCTGTTCACCAGGAGAGAATTGTACAGTTTCATCTAACTTTTATTCACTTATTTTGCAATTACAAGAACAAACAAACAAAAAAGCTTTCACATCCATTGTCTCACTTAATCTTTGCATTAGCCCTTTTAGGCAGGGTTAGCAGATATTTATTTATTTCCTCTATAACACAAGGAAATTGAGTTCAGAGAAGTCAAAGGAGGTTAACAAGGTACAACACACAGTGGCAGAGCCATGACTTGGACCATGATTTTCCAAGGTCCTTACCCACTGCCCTTGGTAGATTGAGTCACGGTGACTGAGAATAGTCCATTAACTGGGAGGGGGCACTGAAGAAATGAGGGAGGAAGAGAAAGAGGCTAGAGGGAGAAGAAGACATAGAAGGAGGAAGAGAAGGAGGAGAAGGGAGGGAAGGAAGGAAGGAAGGAAGGAAGGAAGGAAGGAAGGAAGGAAGGAAGGAAGGAAGGAAGGAAAGAAGGAAGGAAAGAAGGAAGGAAAGAAGGAAAGAAGGAAGGAAGGAAGGGAGCATAGAAGGAAGGAAATAAGAAAGGGAGGGATAAAGAGAAGAAATAAACCAATGATATTTGTTAACAGTGGGAGCTAAATTGCTTCCTCCCCTCCCGTCTCTCCTAGGGTACCTCTGGTGAGGTGTGGGCTGATTTGGCCCGCCCCGCCCCTACCTTTCTCTGCTCTTCTCCAGTCTGCTGCTCCTTGTCTTCCAGAAGCCTCTCTCCATATTAACTTCATCTTCTCCATGTAACCTCTCTCCCTACTGATGTTTCTTATGTTTATGCTCCAAGAGTCATCGACAAGAGCTATCTTTGACACTCATTGACCAGACTCTATCTGAATTCAAATATTAGGTGTGAGGTTCATGCCTCACAGTGATGTTCCCAAGACCATTATTTGGGAATAATTCCAATTAATGAAAAGACTCATCATAATTAATAAACTAAGCTACCCATCTAATTAATAAACTAGAANTGACAAGAGCTATCTTTGACACTCATTGACCAGACTTTATCTGAATTCAAATATTAGGTTTGAGGTTCATGCCTCAGTGATGTTCCCAAGACCATTATTTGGGGATAATTCCAATTAATGAAAAGACTCATCATAATTAATAAACTAAGCTACCCATCTAATTAATAAACTAGAAAGACTCAAGATATGTTTTTGAGACATTAAGTTTTCTACTGTCTACATATCTAGGTATCTGCCTCCCTCTACCACTTAGTGTGCTTTCAACGCATAAGACTCTGCATTAGGCATATGTGTGTGGCATATCATTCAAACCCCATAGCAACTAAGGTAGTAGTTATTATCCCCATTGCACAGATGAGGAAACTGAAGCTCAAATATATATGTAGTGTTGTAGCATATATGTATGTACATATGCTATAAATGTATCATTATAAATATATGTTATAGCTGTACATCTATATATCTGTACATATATCTATATAGATAACTATCATCTAGCTAGCTATACCTGTAATATGCATAACACAGCTAGTAAGTGAAAGAGCTGGGATTAACCCTTAGGGTTTCNAGATAACTATCATCTAGCTAGCTATACCTGTAATACGCATAACACAGCTAGTAAGTGAAAGAGCTGGGATTAACCCTTAGGGTTTCTCTGATGAAAAAGGTAATGACACTTCTCTATTTGAAAAAAAAAACACACTACATTTTGGTACTCTTAGTGTTAGTTTCTGGGAAATCATTGGAATGGAAAGTTTTGTTTTAGACATTAAGATAATGGGACTCATACATATCTCTCATACACACACACACATGCAGAATTGCCTCAACTTTGTTACACTCCCAGGAATCAAGCCTTTACCCCTCCACTTAACTAGATCTTCATCAGCACTTATTCTTATACTCTGTCAGAACCACTATCCAACCTTATAAATTCACTATCCACCTGGTGTGAACCCCTTTAGTAGATTCTTTTTTGAATAAGAGAATGCTCTGGTTTAGAACCTGTTTTGTCCTACCAGAGAGCAACTCTATTGATTGGGCCATTTTGATGGATAACAGGTAAAAGTGTGTGTGTGTAGATTGTGAAATAAGTAATGTAGTTCCAAGTAATCAGAACTGACTTTTTAACCTATACCAGGATTCTTTTGGAAGCAGCAGGTAAAGTCTGATTTATATTTACAGATGTTTTCTCAGAAACTTGCCCTTTTTAAGCCACAGTCCCATCTTTGAATGAGAACACTCTAGGTTCAATTTCTTGATTCCTTAAATCCCAGGGCAGCAATCCTAGGCAGAGAGAGAGGGTATAATCCATTAGTACCTGGAAACTCAGTTTTGTCTTCACAGAGGTGACCATCATTATTAATAGCATTATCTTCCAAGGAAAGGAAACTCTAGATGTGTAAAATTTAAACCTTACAGATTTTGACAATTATTCCTTTTTTCTTACTATATTTTTAAAATTTTTGCTAGCTGGTAATGCAAAATATCAGTGGTTTAGCACAATGTAAATTTATTTATTTGCATTGAATACAAAATGGGTGTTCCCAGTTGATGGGTGGCTTTCCTCCAATTGGTGATTCAGGGATCCAGGCTCCTTCCATCTTGGTGTTCTGTCACTTTTGAGGAGTGACTTGCAAAGTTTTCCTGAGTGTCAGCACCCATCCAGCAGACAGGAGAAGATAATCTGCAGGATCACCAATGGGAGATTTCTATGGGTTAGGACTAGAAGTGGAGCCCATCACTTCTGCTCGCATTCTAGTGGCTGGAACTAAGGCACATGGCCTTATCTAATTGGAAAGGAGGCTAGGAAGTTGAGTTTAGTTGTGTGCCTAGAAAGAAGGAGAAATGGCTTTGGTGAACAGCTAATCAGACTTCATCATACTGACTGGAATGAATCAAGCAATTAAAAAATATAGTGGAGGAGCATTAGAACTTTTCTACTCAAACTCAATATCCAAATATGCCTTTTATAAAATTACTAACATATCCTCCAATCTCTCCCTAGAAATTTCAAGTAACATAAAAAAGCATTACCTTATAACACTCTGTAATATGCATTTTAAAAGTGTTTAAACTCCTTTGTAAACATACAATGTACATAAACTGCAATAGGACCAGGTTGATACAAATGGCAAAGGTAAGTCTTTAGACAGTAGGCATGTTTGAAAGTGAGTTAATTCTGTCAGTCTACAGCAAAATCCTTACCACATTTTTGTAATGCTTCAGACTCCTTTGCAATGCACTTTTATCTTCTTTAATAAAACCAGGACAAATGATCATTTTGTTTGGGACATAAATCACAGTAAGTGTCACTTAAGACCAGTGTTGGTTGGTGGTCCTTGGCCATATTTTACTTCTCATTAAGGCAGCCAGACTTAAATTGTGTCTAGAGGTGATATTTAGTAAGTCTGATTTAAGAGTAAGGCTTCAAGAATGAAAATGCTTCTGTCTATCCTTATCATCTTTATGTCACTAGAAACATTCAGAAATTCCTGTTGATTACAGCAATATCCAGAGTTCACAGAAGAATTCATACTCTAAACTATTCTAACATCTGTTTTGGTTTTATGGTCAATCTGAATAGTTGTAATTTACATTCACTGGCACCACACAATGAGGTTATTTTCAAACTACTGTATTTTGAAGAAAAAAACCCCAAAACCCTCCTTGTACTTAGATCTTGAGCTAAGTCTTAATTGTCCATGCCAAAAGAGGAAAAATTTTTTTATAAGTAATTAATAGTAATTTTAAAAACTCACTTCAGACCGTGGTCTTACTCTCTTTGCTACCCAGCCTGTATGGCTAACTTCCATTGCAGTTCATTACCAACTTTAAGTCGCAGCAGGGAAACTCATCAGAAACCACAGAAAAGACAAAAATGAGGGTAGAAGAGAAGCAGAGGAGCAGGATAAAAGGATAATTACATGTCATAACTGAAACTGGAATTATTGCTAAATGGAAACAGAATGCATCATGTAATCAGACCACCCAACAGTCATAGTAAATCACTTGTAAATGGGGGTGTCTACTCTCCAACCTCAGCTGGCTATTTCCTTACACAGATCTCCCTTCTCCCTGGGCCGGACTCGCCAGCAATCCTTCTGATCCTCGGCCTTGTGCTGGCCACATCAGTCAGGCGCCACCAACTGCCTTTTCCTTACTGGATTTGAACCAGCTTTATTTATTCGTCCTAAATTCTGCAATACAGAAACAATAAGTGAGCTCAAAAGCAGGGCCAGGAAATCGCTATATGATATGACACAGTAGTAACCTTTTGTTGAGTGCTCAGAAGGTGCCTGGCTTTGTGCAGTGTCCCCTGTCAGAGTCAATGCCGTCTTCTCCTTACAAAACCATACAGATTATACTGTTTTTCTACTTTGGCGATGACAATCTAAGGCACCAAGAGATTACATGGGTAACACTAAGCAAGTTACGTAATCAGCTATGGGGCTGGAGTGCAAAGCCAGGTTTATCTCAAAGGGCACCCTTAACCTCAGTGTTGCTTTATCTCCGATTGAACTCCTTCAGACTCTGTGCCTCACCACTTAGCTTAGATCCCCTAATGGCTTTGCACCTAGTGCCTTTCTGTGAGCTGTGCTTCCTATTATAAATTCAAAGATGTGAAAATGTGAATACAATAAAAACAAAATCGAATTATTGAAATCGATGAAATACCATAGTGAGATGTCCAGTCCACAGTGGGGCTTGCTCCATGTGAATTTCTTCTGAATGAGAAGTTGGGAAGGGTTTGATGTGATTATTTTCTTAAAGGGTTAAGTTAACATAGCACATTTTACAATAAAAACTTATGATTGGGGATGTGGAATGAAGAAACATAACTAAACCTCATAGCTCTCCCTTGGTTCTCATGCTACTTGCATTCCATGTGCTCGCTATTTTCACACTAAGCATATAGCCTGCTAACGCCCAGCAACAGGCTGCTGACATCACCTTCAGAGCTGGCTGATGTTCACTGTAAAGCAAAGCACCAGGAAACGCCGACTGGAACAAGAGCAACACTTACTTTGATTTCGTGATGATCTTTTTCTTTGCTAATTAAGTACATAAAATTTTGTTGCCTTATTTACAGGTTAATGATGCAAATTAGTTAACTCATGAGCATAACCCACATCTACACATGCTCTTAAGTAAATTACCGAAAAGTAAAAACATTACAGTTGAAAGCTGACCCTTGGTTCTGATCCCAGTCATTAAGGTGATTGTTTCTTTTTTATTAACAGTTTGTCTGCGTTGGTGGGAGCCCCAACAGGATGAAAGCGTTTGCACTGTTCATACATAAGGAGCTCAGACTGGAGGAAAGCGGAGAAGAAATAAAGGACATCTGTGCCGGGACAGACAGATATTGCATGTACAAAATTGGTCCCGTGCTCTCCATCAGCGTAAGTACTCAATGACTGCACTTCTGGGAGCATCACAAGCTTGCAGGAAAAGTGGGAACTCCTGAATACAGGAGCTTTTCCCCCCCTCCTGCTCTGCCTTCTCACATAATTAAATTAAGTCTCCAGGTGTGACATTCTTTGCTGGAAAAAGTCCCAGGGGAACATAGCATTCAGTGTCACTTTAGTTTATTAGTTACCACTTAGCTATTCAAATTAGGGGGGGAAACTCTCAAAGCACACTTTCTTTCTTTAGTTTGTAACTGATTAAGCCACCAGTAATTTTCTCTCCTCTATCCCTTTTCCAGCTTTGGGAATGCTGAGCTTTAAGTACACAGGGGCCAATTTTCAGGATTGCCAAAGGCTGCCATTTGACACTGTAATAAGCTCACTGGAAAGCTGATAATGTGTTTCTGCAGAGCTTTTGTGAGTTGCTCTCCTGTACTTAGACTATGTTAACAGCTGTGGACATATGCAGTGTCCTAAGACAAAATGAAAGTGGGATAATTTGCAGTTTTAAGGAACACATACACCGTTTCCCTCTTGGACTCAGGGTAGCAGACACAGAGGGAAGTGGGTATGTGTGTGCACCGAGCTTGTCCTTCTAAGTCTCTCTCTGCCACAGGGCTGTATCCTGAAACAATAGCGCTAGTCTGTCACATATCTGGACACCGTAGTCCTCATAAAGGGCAGAACCAGGCAGGCTGGGGAACAAGGAAGAGTCCTCTGCAGAGTGTGACAATTCTAAGTAGCTGAATTATATGTGACTCCTGCACAGAGGAGAGCCACCAATCACTGATCACTCTAAGTACCTGGTGAGGGAAGGATGGGTGATCGTGGCTGGAAGCCTGAAGTAAAGAAGAGAAAATTAGGCAGCACCAATGGGGCAGCTAAATTGATTTCCCCTCTGGGTCAAGAATGCCTGAAACTTGCTTTGGGCTCAAATGAGAGAATCCATTCATTTACTCATTCAACAACTATAGAATATCTACATTGGAAGGAAACTGAATATTGTTTGGACTAGGCAAATTTTAAACTTTAAAAAATATATACGTATATATTTTTATTGATTTCAGAGAGAGGAAAGGAGAGGGAGAGAGAGAGATAGAAACATCAATAATGAAAGAGTTGTCATTGATCGGCTGCCTCCTGCACACCCCCTGCTGGGGATCGAGCCCCTAACCCGGGCATGGGAATCAAACCGCCATCTCCTGGATCCTAGGTCAATGCTCAACCGCTGAGCTACGCCCAGCCTGGCTTGTCTTACTAACTTTTGTTTGACATGTAGACTACAACTGTCATTTTTTTTCCTGCACAATGAATGGTAAGGACACAAAAGTAAGGTTTATAAAAATGTGAAATTATTGTAAACAAATAGTCATACTTAAGAGTAAGATATAAAAACAGCAGTAAATGGATCTTGCTGTTCTGTCAATGGATCTTGCTGTTCTGTCAGGGAAAAAGAGCTGAAGTACGGATCATGCCCAGAGGTCAGCCAGTTAGAAATGGGCCTCACTAGGCAGACACAAGATTTCCAATTTGGGCCTCTTCTTTAAATATTCTTTTTCTCCAGTAGCTGGGGTGTGTGTGTGTGTGTGTGTGTGTGTGTGTGTGTGTGTGTGTGTGTGTGTGTGACAGAGGACAGAGAGACTTTAGCAGAAACACAGAAGCCCATTTGTCATTTTATTACCATGTCACATAGTAAGTGATAATTATAAACCTATCAAATATCTGATTTAGAAAGAACTTACTAGATGAAATAATGGTTCATTGTCTTCATTTACAGTTGAGCAAATGAGATTTAGAGAGTTTTCTCATTAGTGGCATAGTCAGTGCCAAAGCCCAGACTTGTTCATCTTAGATATACAAATTAATTCAGGTTTGACTCATGTCTCCAGAAGACTTACAATGCATTTGAAAGTCAGGACCTATTCAGTGGAAACCAAAATTGGGAACCCCAGAGGTTCAAAATGTTCACAGTTTAATATTCTTGATGGTGAGAGGGAGGGAACTCAGGTGAGAACACCTCGGTCCTGGCTGTAGTGGTTTCCCTGATTTGCTGATGAGAGAATTAGTGGAGACATCACCTATCCGCCAAGATGGCCCTGGTGCTTTTCTGCACACAAACTCTTTGTGCCCAAAGTAGAACCAAAGAATACATGTGACTCTCAGATGTTATGTCAGGAATGAAATAGCCTCTGATTCTGAACTCAGCTCCAACTTCTACAAATTTCACAATGTGGATCTTTCTGGAGACTTATTAGAACATATTATAACCACCAGGAGTTGCTAAATCCTCTAACCTATGTTGCCCCCTTTTCTGGGGACATTGACTCTACCGTTCTAAATGCTGAGGATAACCGGGATTGTGATCCATAGCAACTTGCCCTCACCTGCGCATTCACTGTCGGCTCTAAATTATTGCATGTGGGTGTAACCCTTGTGTTTACTCTTGTATGTTCACACAGAATCAGCAGCAAATGAACAAGGCCATGCGAGGCAATGATGTGGATTTACAATTTCATTTATTATGGTGGCAATAAAGACATGGCAGCCAAGTCTATATTTCCTCGAAATCAAGCCAATCTTGAAAATAGACTCTATTTCAAAGACTCGCTGTAAAGAGCCCAGTGGGGAGATGAACGATGGCGCTGCCCTGACACACCAGCACACCATGCCATCGCCACCTTCCTTCTGCTCCTGGTGATGAGGGCTGAGCTCACTGTAACTGGCGGGGAGACGCCTCTCTCTCTGATCCTCACAGATGGGCACATCTATCAGCGTGTTTTGTAGGCGTCAGTTAGAGCTGACTTACGTTTCCCTCAGCTTTGGCAAAGTCATAATGATTATGTAAATTTATCTGAGGGCTCTTAGCTTGTAATGAAGAGCAAAAATGTGTCCTGTGTGTATATCAGCTTGCGAGATGTATAATGACTTTCTCTTTCCTTTCAACAGCACGGCATGGGGATCCCCTCCATTTCTATTATGCTTCACGAACTCATCAAATTACTGCACCATGCCCAGTGCTGTGATGTTACCATGATCAGAATCGGTACATCAGGGGGAATAGGTGAGATGCTTGATTTCCACTATTAGATCCCAGTGATTGTTCCAGGCAAAGTAGCTGTCAACATACAGCGACATACTCAGAGCCCAGAAGAAAACCAGATGGGCTAAGAAGTGTCAGGAGGCTAGGCTTGAGGACGTTTAAAGAAATTTAAAGGAATATTTCCTCTTTATCTTCCATTTCTTTCATCCATGGAAACCTGAAGTGGACTTGGGTGTCCTTAAGGGGAAGAGTAGAAGAAATGCTAGGAAATACGCTTTGAAGATAAGAGTAAGTTTTGAGGGTTACAGTAAATTTTGAGGCATAGAATTTTTATAAATAACAGAAATAACTGTTTCCAAGTTAAAAAAAAAATCACTACTAATTGCCTTGTCAGCTGAGTAAGCAGACTTCATAGCTTATAGGAAAACATTGCTTTTAGCTCATGCTGGTGACTACATCTCTATTCTTGGTGGTAGTTTTCCTCAACACACCAGAGCAGGCAAGCTGGGCCTTTAGGGAAGGGCTGGCTGATGCTTCTTCAGGTTTCCCCAGAGCTGCCCTTCTCTCTGCTTCCTGGCTGGTTGGGTAGCTTGTCAGGGGCCTTGATTGTGCTCTAATACTGAGCTGAGGTCAAGTTATAGAGAAACTTTCTTTTTCAACATTTTCTTCAGGAGCAGATCGTATGAGGGGTGACTTTACTCCGTCACCAATGCAAGTACAGACAGAGCATTGTAACTGGGAACGTTTGGTTGACAGAGTGACAGGACTGAATGGGAATTATAAAAAGGGTTGAGACTTCTGTTTTAAAACTACACATTTTTGGAGCAATAAGGAACCTTCAGAAATCCTCAGACAAAAAACTAGAGAAGTGACTTGTCCAATATCACACAGCTACACGTGGCTGGTCCATGCTTCACCACAAACAGACATGTTTAAAAAGATTAGTCCCTTTCCACAGCTGTGGCACAGGAATGAAGTCCACCTGAGGCTCTCACTGATGGGATTTTTAAAAAAGGACATCTGTGGATGTCCATCCAGAAAGAGGAGGATGTTAACATCATTGCTAGCTAGATCAGGCATTCTTCTGGATGCCCTTCTTTTGGCCTTTGAAAGACTTTAACTAGGCTATAAATGCTCTACTGCATCTAAATATTAGGGAGGCATAATTTTGATGCCTACATTTTTAACTTCCTTTCCAATCATTTTCCTGTTCTTGGGACATTGAGAATAATTGAAGGAGCCACTTGTTTGACTTATTTATTTATTTTATATATCTTTATTGATTTCAGAGAAAGGAAGAGGGAGAGAGAGATAGGAACATCAATGTTGAGAGAGTCATTGATCGGCTGCCTCCTGCACTCCCCCAACTGGGGATCAAGCCCACAACCTGGGCAAGTGCCCTGAAAGGGGAATCAAACCATGATCTCCTGGATCCTAGGTTGATGCTCAACCACTGAGCCACACCCAGCTGGGCTGTTTGACTTATTTAAAAAGAATCTGACCCACCAAAGGTCATTCAGCAGAGCCCACGTTGGGTCCCTAGATGGATCTCCTAAAATAATGCCATGTTGATCAATACTGGAACTTAGAGAAACCCAGAAGGATAAGGCTGTGCTCTGCAAAGGGCCAGATAATAAACATTTAAGGCTTCATAGGCCATATGGTTTCCATTGCAACTTCTCAACTCTGCCATTGTAGTACGGAAGCAACCATAGACAATATGTAATGAATGAATGTGGCTGTGATCCAATAAAACTTTACTTACAAAGATAGTCTGAATTTGGCCCACGGGTTGTAGTTTGCAGATGTCTACCCTATGGCATCTCTATGAAAGCATTTGCTCAGTCAACAAATTTTTATTAAGTATCTACAGTGTAATAGGCATGATGCTAGACCTGGGGAGAAAACAGTGAATAATGCTTTTGCCTTAGTAGAGCTTATGTTTTAATCAGGGCACTAGGCAGACAAATGAGTAAAAGTGAGATGAATGTTAGAGCAGGAGTCTAGGGCACTGCCATTATATATTCCCTTCTTTTGGCTCTAAAAAGTGAGATGAATGTTAGAGCAGGAGTCTAGGGCACTGCCATTATATATTCCCTTCTTTTGGCTCTAAACAGAAATCAGAATGGGTCAAAAACTAGGTCAAAACCTGGGCCTGGGGAATTTAATGTCACTTGTCTGTTTTTTTTATTATCTTCCCCCTCCATGGATTCAGACCTTTTGAAGGAAGTGACTTTAGCTGACACCTGAAGAATGAGTTGATGTTAGTCTGCTGGAAAGGTGTGAGGAGAACAAGAGAGCATTCCAGACAGGGAGAACAGTTGGCAGAAAATGGTTTTTCAAGTCCCTGTGACTGGAGTTACTAAGTCCCAAGAGCAAGCCAGACTTTGTAGCCCTGGAAGGTCAGCCAGGAGGCCTAATTTACATGGGATCAGAGAGGGGAGGAGGGATGATGTGATGAGAATCCGAAGGAAAGAAGGATAGAGATGCAAAGAAATTACTGTAATCAAGGAGATGCACAGAAGATTAAATATCAAGTAGTCACATCACTTTATGAAAGCAACTTGCTGGCAGGCTCATTTAGTTTATTCCTGACCTAATTTATTCAAATTTGAGCCCGAAGGCCGATACTAATTTGCATGTCCAAGAGTCATGTTTGTCTTGAAATCTAAACCCCATCATGCTGTAAATGTGAATTTGGAAAGAGAGCAAATGTAAATGCCTGTTCTGAATGTTGTTACTTAATGGAATTTGGAACAAAAATAATTTAAAGGATGGAAAGAGGGAGAATCATTAGCAAGCAGCATTAATTAACGTTGACAGGATTGATTACATACTATGTGTCAAAAGTAACCACTTATTTATTCCCACATTACAGGGGTCGCACCGGGGTCCGTTGTAATAACAGATACGGCTGTAGACTCCTTCTTTAAGCCCAGATTTGAACAGATAATCTTGGACAACATTGTCACCCGAAGTACCGAACTTGACAAGGAACTGGCTGAGGAACTATTCAACTGCAGCAAAGAAATTCCCAACTTCCCAACCCTCATTGGACATACGATGTGTACCTATGATTTTTATGAAGGTGAGAAGAATCTGTAAATTGTGAAAGCAACTCTTTGTTATTCAAACCCATAAATTATATTTAAAACTTCACTTTAGAAATTTTATAGTTGGGAATTAAAAGAGAGACTGAAACAGCCTTTTGAACTTCCTATAGCACAGGAACGTAAGGACATAATAAGCAGCAGAGAAACATCTATAGTGAATATATACTGAGAGTGGGTTTAAACCTCCAAGAATAAATTGAATACTAAAATGCAATGAATGATGTTAGCAACATCTTATCTCTGTTTATGCCTTTAGTTTCAATTGATGACTCAGGGAGAAGGGGAATGTGCTGATTCTGTTTTGCCATTTTGAGACACGACCACTTATACCTCAAAAGGGACCTGGTACTCAGGAAAAAGTGGAACCCAGAAATGGGGAGAAATGTTTAGGGGAGGAATTCCAAAAGGCTAGATAGTATCAGAGTGGTTTTTTCTCTCTCTGCAACAATTAAAGTGTTCCCAAATCAAGTTGAAAGGCAAATTGAAGATGACTGCCAAGTAGCTTTTGCTATAAGGGGTGAGAAGCCAGGAGGAAAAAGTGTCAAGGGCAGAGCCTATTCTTTCCAGAAGAAAGACTCTAACCAGGGTCAGTACCATTTCTTGGAGGGCATTCTAGAAATACTGTAGCATGGTTGTGTTTTAGTATGTTCATCAAAGTACATATTATTTCATTTTTAATTATTTTTTTTATTTTTTCCTGTGGATCAAACTTAAGCTATTATATTAAAAATTTTAAATTAAGTACCGAGATAGGCTATAGTATCTATAAATGTTACTTCAGGTTAGTAACATTTTATTTTATAACATATGTGTTATAAACAAGAGGTATGCTGGTTTTGATAAGATTGAAACTCTGTCATAGATCACTGTCCCCTTTGTTGGAAGTGTCATGGATAGGTATAAGCCAGAGCTTACAAATGACAGCCTGTTGGAGTCACTATTTTCTTTGGCCTACACAGAATTTTTTAAGTGTGAATTATTTTGCCAACGTTTAAAATTTCTTGAAATTTCACATGAAAATCAGTTTTGGCTTCTTGAAATAATATAACATTGAAAATTTGAAATAATGCATGGCAGCCTGCCAAGCCCCAGCCCACATCCAGGGCTGCATTCAATGAAGGTGAGGGGAGGCTGCTCCCTTCCCAGACCCTGCAGACCTCACTGACGTTACCTGCTTGGCTTCTAGGACATCTGAGTTTGAGTTGGCTTAAGTAACACTATGTTAGAGGTGCGGGGAGGCAGCCTTCAGGAGGAAGGAACAAGGAGAAGCAGCCAGCCGGCGTGGAAGTAGCCTGAAAGGCCAAAAGAGAGGAAAGGAAGCCAAAAAGAGGACTGTGCAAATAATGATGGTGACAGAGTGCTGTTGGCCTCCCTGCTTCAGCCCAGGCCGTCCTGGGAGTGCGGCCTGGAGAAGTCTGTTCCCAGAGCCTGCAGGGTGGGGGAGGAATTAGACCATTTGACTTTTTTCCATCAGACTTTAGCCCCACCAGTTGAAAAAGGTGAAACTAAGTGGTAAATAAACACTGAGAGCAGCCTAGAAGGGAAACAGTGATCACAAAGTGTGGCAGGCAGCCTGAGCGCAGAGAAGGTAGACAAACTGGTCCCACTGATACGACGGGCCAGATGGAGAGTTACGTTGCCCAAACCGCCTTCCTGATCACTGAGGCTGGACGTCTCTTCTCCCCCAGCACCTGGCCCTGGGCCATCCCCCACTAACAGCAGCAACCTGAGAGTCTCCTCAAAGGGCAGGTCTCTCAGTGACCCTCTGGTTCAAAATTTTCTCTTTGAAAGTAGCAAGAAATCTCTGGGGTGGTAATTTGGCACTGTGTGAATGTTTTGTAATCCAACTGTCTTTTACCTAATGATTTTAGCATGGGTTACAAAATGATGATTTCCTAATTCCATTATCTTTGGGCACAGTGCTGGCTGCTGTGGCCACTCAGTGATTACCGGCCCCAGAGCTGGGACGCTTAGCACCCTGGAGACTGCTCTCTGCATATGAGACTCTGGCGTCAGGCACAGCCTTGCTCCTGGCCCAGTGATAGGAAGACTCAGATGGCAGGTTTATCCTACCTGGGGTGCAGGCCCAGGAGTTAGGGTCACCTGAGGAGTGCTCCAGAGGACAGAAAGCCCCTTGGTGATGCCACTGCCACTGTGGCAGGATATCAAGTTACTGACTGTTTTCCATTCTCTTTCAGGCCAGGGTCGACTAGATGGAGCACTGTGCAGCTTTTCCAGAGAAAAGAAGGTCGATTACTTGAAGAGAGCATACAAAGCCGGAGTCAGGAATATCGAGATGGAATCTACAGTATTTGCAGCCATGTGTAGACTGTGTGGCCTAAAAGGTAAGTTCTTCATGAATGCCTAGGGTCCAAGTCTCTTCTTTTATAAAGTTACTTTCACTCTATAAGAGAAGAAAAAGAAATCCAGCTATAGATTACTTTGGGTTGAATGCATGCCTTATAGTTGTTTATAATATGGATTATCTCACAAAGTCTTGTGAGTGGGCTGGACATTATTCTCATTAGGCAGATGAGGAAACCAAGCCTCAAAGGTCAAAGGCAAGTTGCCCAAGGCCATCAGCTACTGGGTTATGTAGCCACAACTTGACAGAAAGTAAAATTGTAAGTTGATAACATATAGTTGGCAATTAAAGCCATGCAACTGATGAGATGACAAAGCGAATGAGTGTAGAAACAGATGAGAAAAGGTCCTTGGTTAGAAGTTAAAAGTTAAGGGAGGTGAGGGAGATCCAGCAGAGGCGGCTATGGAGGAGTGGCCATTGAAATTGGCAGACACCCTTGACTACTTCCATCTCTCAGAGTACATGTACAAGCAAATCTTTGTACTATATGAGTGAAGGATGCAGATGGATCCTTGCCTTGTTTAGAAGGTCATCATGAATACCCTCTTTCTAAAGAAACAACAGCACCCGATTTTCTCTGCACAAGGTAATGAGAGTGGGACACCCAGCTGGGGGCAGCTTGACTTTGCCTAAGAGCAGCCCAATTAGCACACAGCTTGCAGGAACACCTGGATCCAGCTATTTCTGTTCCTCATATTTCTGTACTATAGAAACAACAAGTGGTCATTTGACTCACAGCTCCACCTAATATGCAAATAGAGCAGAATTTAATAACCAGTTTAGTTAAACATAAAATGCCTACGTACAAACATGCTATCCTGATATAAGTTTGGTGGTGACCAGCAATTTTTTCTTAAGTGGCACCGATTAACAGCAAAAAGGAGAGTTCTAGGCTTGTGAACCCTGGACCCACGTCTTTCTCTCTTTAAGGATGTTATCAGCATCTCAGAGAAATTATTCTGTTATGAGGTCTCTTCTGTCCTTGCTGCAAATCCTTGTGATCTTGCTCTCTCTGCCACCTGCAGGCACCCTCCTGGACTCTTTCCTGCCCAGCTTGCTGTAGTCCCTGCTACCTGCTGTTGTTTTCTTTTTCTGTGGCTGCCAATAACTCTCTTGCAGGCTGCTGCTGCAGCCTTGTCGCTGAGCACACCCCTCTGGGCTGTCAACATTCGCACTAAAGGTTGCATCTGTATCTCTGCGATTCTGTAGTTCTTTGGAGTATTTCTGTCTGAATTTCTTCATGGGGAAGACTCCACTGATTTGAAAGCTGAATTCTTGGTACACTACCCCAAGAACACAGACAAAAGCCCCATGCAATGATGCTACCATGTTCCCATCTTTCATCACTTCATCACATCCTTCCCCCACAGCAGTGAAGCTTGGAAAAGCTCTGTGGGAGCTAGAAAAGCTGGCTTAGGGGAAGGGCTCAGACAGTCTTCACAAGCAGCTGCTCTAACACAGAGAAAGTTAGGGAGGATATTCCAATGGTAAGCAACACGGGAAATATTTCTCAAGTGGCACCGAGCTCAGGGCCCAGCTGCAGCTGCCTCCCAGGCCTGTTCTCCATCCTTTCGCATCCCACTCCCGCTGTTAGTAGCGGCCCAATCGACCCTGCCTCTCCAGGCAGCCTTTCCTAACGGCCGTTCTGTCCCTTTAATGCTACCCGAAGACTGAACCCAATCTGACTTCATACTGAAGTGATGACGGCTAATGGTTTCGGCTTATAAATAACAACTTTTTATTTAAACAAAGGCCTTCTAGAGACCCATTGTCCTAACTCAGAGGAGTCGCTCACTGAGTTTGGCCTAATGCAGAAATAGACCTTTCTGCGTCCACCTGTGACAAGGAGGTCTTGGGTCCACATGGATTAGCACTTCTTATCTTCGTGATTAGTAATGGATCTCACTTCATCAGAGAAGCCTTGAATGACCACCTGAACTAAACCTGCTCACATTCATTCTACTCACTCACTCTGCTCACTCACTCATTCATTCTACTTCATTTGTCTGTATTGCACTTGCCATTATAGACCATATTTTTAGTTTCTTTATGCATTAACTTACCTATTACTTTATATATATTAATGCATGAAAGTATTTATTTAGCATCTCCCTCCATTATAATATAAGCACCATGAGAACAGGAATGTTGTTTGTCATTTTCTTGCTCCATCTCCAGCACTTAGAATAATATCTGCCACATGGGCATTCAGTAAATATATGCTAAATGAATGAACAAACAAAAAAGAGTGACTCCTCAACTCTTATTTACCATGGAAAATGGCTACAGCAAATATAGCAACTGGTCCCTTCATTCCCCAGCTTCATTAGTGGCTTGGAATTGTCTGAAGGATTTTGGAGTGCCTCTTATCTGTCCAAATAGGAAGAGACAAAGCTTTAAATTCAAACTTCCCTTTTTCTGTAAGTTTTATATGATACTTCTGCTTTATCGGCAGCCCTTAAAGCTCTTGATGTTTCATAGGTGGACAAACTGCTAGAAATGGGGCCACAGATACCCATAAGTCACTGTTGTTACCCTGATCTCATTACCCTGAAAGGGAGTAGGGGGATCACTGCATTAACAAAGACTCGGGAAGGGAAATAGTGGCATTCTACATAGAAAGGCCAGGCCTTCAGAATACTGGGAACCCACTGTCCAATGCTGCATAAGTGCATTCACCTATGAATTTATAATATGAATGCATCCGTTCCTCTCTTAGAGCAAAATCTATTTTAATTGAACCCCTAACATTCTGATGAAAGATAATCATTCTGCACTGTGAACTTGTGATAAGTATGTTCAATTTGTATCCATTTTTAAAAGACAATGCTGCCTTCTGACACACGCTTGCTTGCATGGCAATATATAAAACCTAATATTTATCTAAGATTAGGTTCTGCTTAAATCCCCTTTGTCAGTGGTGTTTGCAGCACTCACAGTGGTTTTTCTTTAGGGTAAAGGAAGAATTCAGTGTTATTTCTTTTGACAGATACTGGTAACTTGGAGGATACATTCAATCTTCGTAACATTACTTTATTACAGTTCAATGAAAAGGAGCAGAATTCTGACTTTAATTCCATTTTATATTCTTCTGCTGGTCCCAGCAATGAAGGATACTGGGCTTTGGGAACTGCACGGTGATCACTGGTGAAGTAGAAAAGATATTACAACAAGGATTAAAGATTATATTGAGTCTGGAGTTGGAACATTTCTTAACTCTAAAGTGGAGAAAAATTGGGGCTTTGAAATATTGTTATACGAGGGTGCAGGGCAACCAGTTGCAGCTCTCTTCACCCTCACAAGAAAAGAAACTGTGGCTCAGGGAGGTTCTAACAAGTTCTCACAGTTAATAATAAGCTGGACTGGAATCTGAATGCAGCTCTGTCCGACTCGAGGCCCTTGGCACCGCACTCTGCCGCCTGTTCCCAGCAGCCTCCCACGGACACACAAGGTCTTCAGTAGTACGCATAGCGGTGACTTGGCCAAAAAAATCAGTCATTATATCTGGGAAATCAGATCTAAGTGGCTAGTGATTCATTTATGACTTTTACAAAGACAAGATTTAACAAAATGGGTTCTTCTTACTTTCTTGGGTTTTACATATTTTTAATCAAGGTCAGCATGTATAGTTTTATTTGATTAATTTTAATTCTACCCTCCTACCCTCTATTCCACTCCTCCCTGTCCCTTACCAACACATCACCCATCAGAGAAACATTTGGGGCCACGGACTCAGCCCTTTGGGTGGTTGGCATTACCTGTGACCCACCCCTCCCCTGCTCTGCCCAGGGAGGCATCCTGGGTTCCCCCGCTGGAACCCCACCCAGCACACCGGGCTCCCTTCTCTGCCCATCCTGACTCATCTCTGGTTGGCCCAGCATCCAGCAGAGGTTCAGCCCCCAAGGTTCCAGCTGAACGTCCTGGAGATGACAGCATAGTCCTCATACCAGCAAGATGATGTGAGGCACGCAGGCTGAGCGTGTGGATTGGGAGAGAGATGCCTCTGAGGTCCACCTTTCTTCTGTCTCAGGGAGTGAAACGAGGCCTAGAGAGTGTAAGTGACCTGTCTTAGGAAACACGCCAGATTGAAACCAGAGGTGGACCAGAAGTAACACCTCCCGCCTCCTCACCCGCACTCCCTCCACTGTCTCATAAGGTGTAAAAGAGCAACATATTTATCTATTGACAGATTACTTGTACTCCTTTTTTTAAAAAAAAGGCATTAGCAGCAGCTTCCCATGAAAGATGAATGTATACCATAATTTAAGCAAGGTAAGGAGAATAGAAAACATGTATTTAAGGGAGTAGCTGGGGATTTCTCAATATCAACGAGACTACCTGGGAACACAATAGTAAATCTAAATACTTCTACTTGGTTCTGAGTTTCTTGGAGGCCAAGTTGAAAATGGAAACACATTGAGTTACGCAGCACTCATTATCTAATAAAAGGAAGCATTTGAGGTTTACCATAAAAACTTTATCCAAAGGTTAAACATAAGTGAAATTATCAACTATATTATAATGGACAGTGTATTCAATAACACTTTTATAAAAGTTAAGGGACAATTCTTGATAGAGTTAATGCTAAATCTTGGTTCTGTCGAATTCTGCGTATCTTTAGAAACCTAAAGTACTAGGGTCCAGGTCTGTACATTTGTTGAACTTGATTTGATTCAGGATAGAGTTTAATGTCTTTAAAGCAATCATTTTCAAATATTAATGTGCAGATAACTGGGAAGGTGTTTTTTTTTTTTAAAGCAGATTCATGTCCAGGCTGGGAGGCTCAGTTGGTTGGAGCATTGTCCCATACACCAAAGGCTGTGGGTTCGATTCCCGGTCAGGGCACATGCCTAGGTTGTGGGTTCGATTCCTGGTTGGGTCGTGTATGGGAGGCAACTGATGGACGTTTCTCTCTCTTTCTCTTTCTCTCTCTCCCTCTCTTTCTAAAACCAATAAACATATCCTTGGGTGAGGATAAATAAATAAATACATAAATGAAATAAAATACAGATTCACTGCCCTCTTTCACCTCTCACCCCTAACTGCATATCAGGGATAGAGTCAAGGACTCTGCGTTACTAACGAGCTCTGGTTCTGATGGAGGCAGACAGTGGTGCACATTTTGAGAGACACCAATCGAGAACAAATTGTTTCTATGCTGCTTAGCTTTGATCAGCCCCTTGGAATATGAATTTTCTCCACTTAGTTGTTGATTCACAGCCCACAGCCTGAGATCGACGTTTCAGGGAAGACAGAGGCGGTGCAAAGGCTCTGGGTTGTTGAGAGTCCTATGCTTTATATACCAGGCATACAGGGAGCAAAGATGGTGCGTGTTTAGTAAACTCAGAGCTTGAGGAGTGAAGAGGGGAATGTAAAAGGCCAGGAGAAGCGGAAGAGGAGCTGGCACAGAGCCAGGCTGGGAACCCCCAAGCTAACCTGTGCTGCTTTGCCATTTTCTGAGGTCTAGCCTATCTGGGTTCAGTTGCCCGCAGGGGAATCTGTGCCTGGCCTTGCTGTCTTTGCCTACAAGTTCATGGGAAACTTTCCTGGAAGTCCATTCTGAATCAGAAAGTTGGAACTAAAGCAGGGGCTGTTGATGCCTAAGGATTCATGGGTGGGTTTCAGGGGCCATGACCCCCTGGAATTACATACAAATATTTTGTGTGCACGTGCATATGAGTATTTTTGTGAAAAGAGATTCCAATGACAACTTTGATCAGATTCTCAAAGGGACTGCAAACAATCCGAAAGAGCTGAGAATCCGTGAGAGCTCCTGGTGCAGCTGAGGCCTTGAGCTCCACGTTCGTACCGATGTGTGTTCCCAACACACTGTAGCCTGACCTCAGTTAGCTGACAACCTCCTTGGTGACAGCTAGGTCACTAAGTGTCCCTCTGCAGGAGCCGCCCTCCCTGCCCAATCTGAGGATTATGGTAGCAAAGTTGTCAGGCTTAATATAGACAAATTGTTTGGGGCAATTAATCCCCTTTAATTGCCCATGGAAATGGTAATTTTAGGTGACAAGATTATTATGTGCTGCTTGTTAATGGGACCTCTGGGGTCAAGAAAACACCCCTGAGAATGCTATGACTTGTTCTTTTCCATCTTTGGCATTACCTTGAAATCTCCAGATAAGATGTTTAGTCAGCTCCCACTCTGTGAAAAGTACAGAGCGTGGGTTTCCTTTCATTCTTCTTCCAAGGGAAGGATTAGAGAACAACTTTCAACATTTCCCTGCCACCACCAGCCTCTGCCAGGCTTCACAGGCTCGCTGATCATTAACTCGAAAAACTGGGGAAGTTTCTAGCCCTTCCATTTGTTTGTTTACGTGTTCTGCCAAGTTGCTTTACAACCAAGTGAGCTTTGAATAAATAGGGTCCTAGATGATGAAATATTTGGCTCAGCTCAAGTTGAATATTTTCATTCCTTTTCACTTCACTGAACAGGAGGGTCAGTTTGACCGATGGGTCAGGGCAGGTCTGCCTAATGGTTCACCATGTGCCAGCTCAGGTGACAGGTAGATGGAGGGCAGAGAACTCTTCTTAGCAATTTAGGAAGCTGGGAATTGGTTGGCCATTTACTAGCTGTGCATACTGGGCCATTTGTTTGACCTCCCTAAACCCTCATTTCATCACCTGCCAAAAGGGGATAAAAATAATAGCTGGCTCACAGTACAGCTGAAAAGACTAAATGATATCATAAACACCTGGCAGATAGCAAGAACTAAGCCAAACCAAAAAGATAGCATCTATTATAAATACAATTCATTTCTCCTTCCCAAATCCAGATCTTATAAAGAAGTCTAAAATAACGGAGAGGTTAAAGAAATAAGTATTACACTCCAGCCCAACTTTATCTCCATGTCCTCAAAGCTTGTTAATGTAGCCACATCTAATCCCATGAACCCTGAAATCCTTTTTAAAATGCTGCAGATGAAGATAGAGATTATTACACTACCAGTTCAAATTGCTGAGACTGATTTCATTGTATATGATCACATGCCCTGAAATCAAAGATTTCGTGTAAAACTGACAGTCAAGAATTTGTAGGAGACTCAATTTTTCTCTCTGGTTCTTCTTGATGAAACAAACCAAAGGCACTACCCTCATGGTGACTTTGCAAAAATGAGAGTTTCAGTTTTTTTAGGAAAATACGTCTGTTCTTTTTTCCCTACTTTTGCATCTATCATAGGATTTTATTCCCGTTCTTTAGAGACTAAATGCTAATAGATTTGCTCCTTCATGGAGTTGATTCTTATACTTAAGCATCTCATTTAATATGTTTCTTCTCAAATTTCGTGAAGGTCAGTACTCACCTTTAGTGGTATTTCCTGAGGTCGGTGTTCATATCTCTCATATTTACTTTATTCTTCAGCAAGGGCTGCAGCAGGCAAACAAAACATTGCACCAAGGAGTCAAATGTCATCTAGGAATAATGGCTATCTCTCCAGTTTTATCCTCAAGTAAGAAGAGCCTCATCTAACTGGAAATATAGGATAGAAAGCTGGAAGTTTGTGTCTTGAATGGCAAGGATCTCTCCTTGTTCTTGACCTGAACACAAAGCTCTCCCTTATTCTAGCCAATTGTAGGGGAAAGGAGAACAGAGAGTGCCTAAAATTATTTCCATTAACTTATTTAGATGGAGTGTTTGGTGGGCGTCCATAGAAATATGAGCCATATAGAAGGCTAGAGAATTCCCTGAGTTGCATCCATGTGACAGGGAAAATAACACAAAATACGTGTGCTAGGGATATTGGGACATTTGGCTAATGTTTCTATACAAAAGATGAACCCATTTATTCAGTAATGATGTTTGCTCTTCTAGCTGCTGTGGTCTGCGTGACACTTCTGGACAGACTGGAAAGTGACCAGATCAACTTGCCCCATGATGTCCTGGTGGAGTACCAGCAACGGCCTCAGCTCCTAATCTCCAACTTCATCAAACAGCGCCTTGGACTTCGTGACCAGAGGTCATAACTGGGCAACCAGTTCTTCCCTGCAAGTTTCTAGTTCAAGTTGTCATGTTAACGTTATATATTATTTATGGCATTTTTCATAGAGTTCTCATCCATGTGCTAAAATCATAATAGAGGGATTTTATACAACCTCTTTCTCTTAATATATGAATTTATCTTAAAAGAATTTAATACATTTATTAAATTCAAATTTTATTTCAGAAGTCAGCCTAATAATTAAACATTTAAAACTCCTGGACTGTGACATTTGGAGTTTCATATGCAGCATTAATTAAGCTCATTTCAAAATAGGTCAGCCATTTGTAGACATGGTTACCAGTCATTGTTTCTGAAATCCATCCAGAAATTCATGTTAGAACGCTGTCAGGCACTCTAGGTATTGGACAAGTGACAGGAATTGATCATGCACATTCAAAATATTTACAGAAAAAAGTGTCAGTATAACATAGATCTATATTAAAAAGCAACCCTCTGGGAAATATGACCATACTTCATTTTCCCCCTGCATGATCTCAGCATACCATGGAGTAGGATCAGAGGCTTACATTTGCCTATGTTTGTGATTTTATCAGGAAATATAATCACATGTTTATTTTCAAATGAAAACTCTTAGTAATGCATAAAAAGATTCTCATTTTTCTTCAGAAATCACAAGTCATTAGATCACCTTCTAGCATTTTTTTACGTTTAAGGAACTGTATTTTGGGGAGGCTGTATTTTTATTTTATTTCCATATTTACCTAATAAGCTGAGGAATTAGTAACAACTGAATTTAGTGTTGAGTTCAAAATAGCAAAGTCAACCTTTTACTTTGAAGCAGGTCTTGCCCACACGCTGCTTATACGCTTATTCAATTAGACCCCCTGGGAGGCAGTGTCACTTGGAGGGTACACATGCTCTCTGAGTTGATGCCGCCTGGGGGTTCTTCTAAAGTTGACATGCTTAAGAGTTGGGGAGCCTGCATGGAGGTGGGGGGGGGAGAAGGGCTTACAATCTTGTGTAGTATGTCACGTTGTGTACATATATTTATATGATTATGACTCAAATAAAGTTTAATTTCAACCAGATGGAGATTATTTGCATCTTTTTAAGCAATGACAATGAACAACCTCCCCAGAGGTGTATCAATTTGGAAACGTTTTTTGGAAATAGATATGCTTGGAGGGCAATTTTTAAGGTATCCCAATAATTGACCAAAGATCAGAGCTAAAAGTAAAGTAGAATAATATGGCCATCAGTAGTGGGGTATTCACTTTGTCTCATATTTTTTTAGACCTAGTGAGAATAACTTCAGAATGCTCTCCATAGGCTTTCAAACCCCATAAGTTTGAACTTCTTTCTTGTCTATTCCTAGAAAATCTTTATTATCTGTTTTATTGAGAGGAGTCTATGGGAGACAGAAGAATGAAATAATTACGGTTAACTGTCCTGTCGACTCCTGACTGGGAGTGTGTGTGTGCCTGTGTGCGTGCATCTGCTTATGTTTGTGTATGTGTGTTTTCCTCACTAGTATTCCCTGTCTCATGGTATCAGCTGCACAGGCCAGAAACCTGGTAAACCCCTCTCATGATGCTGTCTCCTTCTTTCCTATTCCAGTCAATTGTCAAGACCTATTAGTCAATTCTCTTGAATATTTCTCCATTTGTCCACCGATGGAAAGCCTTCCTGGTCCTCACATGAGATTCCTCCCAGCCTCGCTCATTGCCTCCCACAGCCCCCTCTATTGCCCCTTTAAAGTACTCATCACAGCTTGCAATTATGTCACAATTAGGGTCATTTAATTAGTGTGCAGGGCCTAGATTATTCGGTTCATGAAGGCAAAGACTGTACCTGTTTTGCTTACTGTACCTGGCTGTGCCTTCCCCTGCATCTCACTCTATGGGGAAGAAGAACTCTGTACCATCAGTGTGGAGCTGTGGTGATGTCTACAACCTCTTGTTTTCTCATATAGCATATGGCTTCCCTCTGTCAAAGCCAAGCCCCAAATTCACCTCCTAATGGAGATCTCCGAGTTTATTTCCTCCTTAGCCCACCAAGCCTTCCCTTCTTGTTCCTTTAGAACTGGGGTTGCACTAGGCAGACATCAATTTGTTCTTATTCATAGGTTGTGTTGAGAACACTTGTCCTTTTTCATGAGCTTGGGTTACAACTTCCCAGCTTGTCTTCATTTGGGAGGCCCAAGTTTCCTCTCCACCCTGAGACTGTCATGTAGTTCGTCCTCTGTAGGCACTCACTGACTACGCACCCATGCCTGCCCTAAGTCTGGGCACCACTGTCCCCCCTCACCCCTAACCCCTCCTCTCCAATCATCCAGCCTTCTTCTCAAACAGACTTCCAGAAACAGATATGCTGCAAAAACTCTCTTCTGGTTTGGCGCATTCTGTGTTTAGTGATTTTTTTGTGTGTTTTTTTTTCTTTGTTCATTTATTCATTGTAAAAGCATATCCCTCCTTCTTCCCTAGAAGAATCAGAAACAGTCTATCAGTCTAAATAAAAACACAGCAAGAGAGTATAAGTTAGAGTACATGGGAGAGAAAAGGAAAAGCAAAGGGGAGGGGCATCACTGGCACAAAGCCTGAAGCTACTACCCAGATGCATCTCGTATAGTCTGTGCACTGGTAGAAGGCAGGCCCTGAACTGGCTCTGGACTAGCTAGTGATTGCTTCATAAAGAGAAAAATTTTACTGTGTCTTTAAGATAAAAATGTGAATTAATGATCAGAAGAACAGCTAGTCTCCATTCTAAGAGGCAACACAGTAGTGTTGTGATGAGGGTGGGCCCTGGGGCCGACTGCCTGGGTGTGTGTGTGTGAGGAATGAGGGACAGAGAGGCATGCCACCCCCATCCGTTTCCTCCAGGACAACAACCTGTGGCTCTCCACACTACTGCTCATTAGGATCATCAAGGAAGACTTTAAAAACACCATCTGGGGCCCCAGTGCAGACCCATTATAAATAAGAATCTCTGGCAGTGGTCTGGGAAGCCCTGCATAAAAATTTTCCCTGGTGATTTGTAGCCTGGGTCTTGAGCCACTGACTTAGAAGAATGGATAACCTGTGAATTGGGCAGACACTTGTCCAGCTGAACTTCAAAGTCTTTAGACAGTGTCTCCACTAAAATAGTTTCATAAAGAGCAAGCCCTTTTACTTGGATTTTACTCCTAGACATCAGGAACAGCCTATATATATCTTGGCTATATATATATATATGAAGAGAGAGAATTGAGGTATAACTGACAAATAACATTGTATATATTTAAAGTGTACAACTTGATGATTTGATATAGCTATACATCATGAAATGATTACCACAATCAAGTTAATTAACATATCCACCACCTCACATAGTTACCTTTTTCTCAATAGCCAAGATATGGAAACAATTGTCTGTTGATGAAAAATGGATAAAGAAAATATCACACATATATAGTATAAATATAATAGAATATTACTCAGCCATTATAAATAGGAGAAAATTTGCCATTTAAAAATAAATAAATAAATGAATAAATAAATAAATAAATAAATAAATAAATAAATAATAAAATAAATAAATAACATACATAGCTGACTGCCTGTCAGGCTAATTTTATCCAAATGTGATTACTTGACCAACCATTCAGAACAATATCTGTGTGTTACACAATACAGTTTGCTATGTAAGCTCATTAACAGTCATGACCAGCTCTTGTATTCCATGTTTCACTCCCAAATGCCAACACAGTTGAAGTTTAATGATTCCTTTTTGGTCCAAAATACACTAAATAACTTTACCTAGCTTACTTTTACCTAGTTATAGAATGTTATTTAGTACTTTTTACACCGTAGGTACTTAATAAGGGCTATAAACTATCAATTGCAACAATACCTCAAAGTCAGCTGGAATTTTATTTCTTTCTTTTAAAAACATAGCTCCTGACATTTGGGACTTATTTTGCAGAAGGTTGGTAAAATCTATGGACCCGCTCTGCAGGAAAAGGCACATTCATATGCCTACCCCTGAATTTACATATGATTTCATGAGTTCACACACTTCCCTCAAGCTGGGTCATGACAGGATACCTGTGTCCCCTACCAAAGACCATGGTTCCTGTGGGTTGCCCCTGGCACACCCCTGCCTTCTCTAGATTCTTTTCATTACTCATCCTCAGCCCCCTTAGATCAGGGCTGGTAGCAGCTGTTCCCAGCTGCACCATCCTTTGCTGTTCCCTAAATTCTGCTCACCCCTTTGTAAATAGTCCCATCAGTAAGTTCTGTCGGTTCTCCAGTTTAATTGTGCCATCTGGTTCCTGCTGGGAACCAGAAAACACTGGAGAACTCAAGACCATTTTGAAAAACACTGACTTAAGAAACTGAAGTCATTCTATATGAAGAGCTCTCCATTACATTTTATTTTTCTTACTGCAAAACAGAAGTTAGTTTTTTAAACTGGTAAAATACTTTTTAAAAGATAATCCTCTCTACAAGAATGTTTTCTTGCATTTAAAAATTCTCATGAAACTCTTCAGGGCTTGCAGCTTGGGAAACAAGGTTTTGATGTATTTTCCTAGCTGACTGTTGGGCATCACATGTATGATAGAATTGAAAGCTCGAGTAAAAGACAGATAAATGGCCTCTGTTGCTTGCCTCTGAGCTACGTGTCCCATCATTCTGTCATGAAAGGAAATTAAAGTTGTCTGACACATACTGCATTTCAGACAGCCACACCGTTCCTTGTCAGGATCCTGTGTGCCACTAGATGTCTATAGTGCAAGTAGATTTTTTGAGGATTTGATCTACAATTGTCATTTCAGGATTAGAGATAAGTAGATTAATCTTTCATTATTAAGCTCTTGCTCTGTCCCTTTTTAAAAAATAAAGGAAACAGGACTTTTGCTATGTCGTCCAGGACTTCCTCTATCTTCTAGGAATCCTAAAATAATATCGAGTGGCTCCACAACCCAATGTCTCCTAAGATGAGTAACTGAAGACACTTATAATTTGCAACCTGCTTCATCATTTA